TAGGAGCAACTTTTAAAGAAAATATTTAGAGGCTACTCACTCTACTTTTCATGAATGTTGACTATCTCTTGTATTCATTTAGTTTGGGAAAATAAAAGTGAGGGTTATTTCATATGATAGAATGGAATAAGACATACACTTATGAAAATGATTCTAGGACCAGGAAAAATTGGGTAAAGAAAACAAATTCTCTACATGCCAAATATATAGACATAAATGTTGGGAAGTACCTTTCAGGAGAGAATATATGATTACAGATGGGATTTGAGTATAATATTTTAACCTATCTTCAAACATGGCCCATTTGTTTCATTTTGTTTTCCATTAGGGCACAGATGGTGTTTAAAAATTCATTCTGGGCCATGTCTAACTATAATTTCTTTAAATGGATGGCTGCCATAAGTATGCATGAATGACTGAGTTTGGAGAGAATTTCAATTTAATTATACACACTGTTGTAGTTATTATTAAAACAAAATCTGGGTGCTGATTCAGCATGGCTTTCTGGTGGGGACATTATTTTGTAGGTGATTTGATTAATTCCATACATATGTGGCTGTCTAATGGCATCTAGAGTGGATATATTTCAGTTGTGATAATGAAATACTTTCTCAATATTAGTTATTTATCAATATGAGAACAATAGCAAATGACAAAAAGACTAAAGTGAATCCTGAGTTACCACTTTTACAGTTTCAAATCAAACAGCTAAACAAATAGTTAAATTGTGTCATGAGATGGAGCTGTTACTATCTGAGGGTCTTCCAAATGAGTGCTAAGTAAATAGGAAATCCATGAATTTTTGTTACTACATGACTACTTGTGACTCAGTAATATATGTCTCTTACCAAGGCCTGCCCTCACCCTCCATCAAGTCAGTAATATCAAATATACTGATTACATGAACCAAAAATGAATGCATATTCTTCAGACCTACAAATGGGAACCAAGCATTGATTTAAAGGGATAACCGGTAAATAATGCTAGATATGTGGTGAGAGAAGTCTTATTCAAAATTCTATGAGCACTAGGCATATACAGTCCTTCAAGGTTTGTTTTGTTTTTAATTAGCTAGGTCAGGGAAATTATATTCTTCTTCATTTACCTCCAAGGAGTTATCTTGGTCTGCAATGAATCCTTTAGTAAAATCTCTGACATTTTTACTTTAGTGCAATATGTTAACTATGAAGAAATGATCTTATAGATCAGTCAAATGTAAAGTATTGCTTATACTGGCATTAAAGCCTGATTATTATATGCAGAAGCTCATGGAAGGTAAGGTTAATCTGAACAACATATTATTTCCTTTTAGTCCATAATCTGCCATTTTAAAATCATGGTTAATAGAATGCCCACAATAAAAAGATCTGTTTAAAGGAAAATGTAGAATATATTCTGCATCTCATTTATATCTTATTGTGTTGAAAAGCAGGCCAACAACTAGTCTGTGAATGTGACATAAAGAAGATGATATACTTCTTTGTTTCAAAAACCTGAGGTATTCCTTTTAAACACTGCATTTCCAAAGCCTTGCTATTATTTAAAATATTAGTCCCTATTTTATCAACTTATTAAATTTAAAGGATCTAAATTAAAATTTAATTAAAGGATTCAAAGGAAGAGTTGCCTGCATTTTAAAAAAATCCCAATTTCTATTTCCATTCTCTTGGTTCTTAGAAAATAAAAAGTAGAATTATTGTACTATGATTTGCTTATCCTAGTGTAATAAATGTCCGCTGTCTGGATGATTTCAAATCCTCTAGCTTGCTATGGTCACCGCATCCTTTTATATTTAAACAAAATTGTTCAAGGGATATGGGTGGGGGGATGGGTGAAATAGGTGATAGGGATTAAGGAGAGCACTGTGATGAGCACCACGTGATGTATGGAAGCATTGAATCACTATATTGTGCACTTGAAACTAATATTACACTGTATTACACTGATTGGAAATAAAAAAACCAACAAACAGGAAAACCACAAAATTGTTCAAATATCCCTACTTACCTAGGGATGAAAGCTTCTTGTTAAGAGGATGGTGAGCAGCACGAAGGTTTAAGCTTCTCAGAACCTCTGGTTCTAGGAATCTCCTGCTATTTCTGATCTTTTTATCTCTGCTTTCATTTCACCTCCTGAGGACACTGCCCTCTTCCATGAAGAATCAATAAGTTGGACACCAACCTGATTGTCCCCCTTCACTTGTAAGACCTCCTTCCCCAGAGTTTCATCCAATCAAGGCTTTTTAAAAAATTAAATTAGCCAACATATATAGTACATCATTAGTTTCAGATGTAGTGTTCAATAATTCATCAGTTGCGTATAACATCCAGTGCTCATCACCTCACGTGTTCTCCTTAATGACAATCAAGGCTTAAACTGTAGTAAATTTAAGGGAGAGTTTGGGAGAAAGGCTGGGGGGGGAATGTTACAATATAGCACATATAGCAAACAACTAACAATTTTTTATTGGATATCTCTATCTTTCAAACCATCTTTGCATTCTAACCACTGGGGAATTTTTACTGTTTTTCACTTCCCTTGAGCTCCAGCTTCCAGCCACATCATGACCAGCGTTATGTCCTCTGACCTCGCTCATCTCCTTCCTGATAAGGTTACCTTCCCCACTCCAAGGTCCTGTTTGCTTCTTTCACTGAACAGATCTGGGGCTCTTTATCCAGCCCCAGTTCATAGAGGCATCATTGGGCCAGGGTTAGGGGGCATGAGGGTTATTTTCCAAACTAAGCTCACCCTTTGCCCTCCTGGTCAGCACAGACAACACTTTCCTAGGGATGAATTCTCCAGTCATTAGCTGGTGTTTCCTATCCCTCCTACGTTAGGTAGCTATTTCAGCATTGAGGACTTAGAATTTGGCTGCAAGATGAAAGCAAGCAGGGGGGTGCCTGGGTGGCTCAGTCGTTAAGCGTCTGCCTTCGTCTCAGGTCATGATCCCAGTGTCCTGGGATCTAGCCCCACATCGGGCTCCCTGCTCAGCGGGAAGCCTGCTTCTCCCTCTCTCACTCCCCCTGCTTGTGTTCCCTCTCTCACTGTGTCTCTGTCAAATAAATAAATAAAATCTTTAAAAAAAAAAGAAAGCAAGCAGGGACGCCTGGGTGGCTCAGTCAGTTAAGCATCTGCCTTCGGCTCAAGTCATGATCCCAGGGTCCTGGGATCAAGTCCCACATCCGGCTCCCTGCTCAGGAGGGAGTCTGCTTCTCCCTCTCCCTCTGCCCCTCCCCCTTGCTCGTACTCTCTCTCTCTCAAATAAATAAATAAAATCTTTATTAAAAAAAAGATGAAAGCAAGCAGTAGATAATGAGAATTTGGAATAATTGTCAAACTTTGAACCTATTATAAGGTCCATAAATAAGGCAATTGAGGCCTGGAGAAGTTAGGAGCCTTGCTGGAGGTCAGAGAGCACTTTCAAATGGAAGGTGGATACAAGGGTCTGGTCCAGAGCTGTTTCCATGATCTCATGAAACAACTCAATTTTTCAGAAGCCAAATAGCATTTCAGCTCTGTGTATTTAATTTTCGACTGTGTTGCCAGCAAAGGGCCCACAGGAAAGAATCCAGGCATATACCAGGGGAGGCAGGCAGCTACTGCACACCTAAATCATATTATCTCAGATACTCTGGTATGTTCCCTATTCATTTTTTAGTTTTCTGTTGCCATTTATGAATATTCTTTCATTTCTAGGCATGATGTTGATGTTATGGAAAGCAGTTTTCACATGATTTTACTAAAATCTTTGGCTGCCTCCATTAGAGATAAAATACCAAGCTGAAGCCTTCTTGTTCTGATCCACAAGAGAGGATCAGAGTTGGTTAAATTTTTATGTTACTGGTAAACCAAGGGGATGTTGGTGGGGGTAGAAAGAGAAAGAGAGGGATAGTTGTAGTGGAGAAAAAGGGAAAGGGCAAATTATCAAAGTCAGTCATGTTGCTGAAATATGCCAAGAAAAAAGTATTTAACCATTATCTACTAGCAGAAATTAAATATCTTCTATAATAAATTAGGTTCCTAACAATTCTGTCTTAAATTTGCTGTACTACCTAAATAGTTTACAAATGTTAAGAAAACATGAATAAACCTGAGAGTTAGATTTGAATGAAATGATTAACTGAAAGAAGCTACAAGATAAAGAAAAAAAATGTATCCAAACCACTTCTGTTGAGGAAAAGGAAGAATGTCTCCTCAGCAGAATTCAAACATTTAGCAACAACCTTGGTTGCAAACATTTGTCCAAACAGTCAACAGGACAAAGAAAATGCTCCTGTGAGAACAGTAACCAGATCTGAGGGCTCTGGTCTTTGAAGTTTAAAATATTTCCCCAGAACTGCCACATTCTTCTCTCTCTCCTATCCCACTGGAAGATCACAAAAGTAAATTCTCATTTGTTCCCTCTTTCTGTTATCCTGCCAAAAATACACACTCACTGATAAAGCCCACCAGTGATTCATTTCATACCATCATCCCAAGGTTTCCAGTATAAATGTCATATTAAATGAGTCTCTTCTGTTTTATTAATGCCTAACAGACATTTAACAGCAATGATGGTGCCAATGATTCTTACTGGATCATACCATTAAAACCCAGATGTTTCGGTATGAACAGAAGCAAAGGCACCAGCCCCTGGGTTCTTTCTCTCCATTCTCATTTCCTTAGCAGTGGCTGAGCTGGGATTCATTTGGAAGCAGAAATAGCAGGCTGTAAACATTCTTTCCATATTTTCATTTACTCTATAGGTCAATTCATTTTCTGTATTCCTCCACTCATTATTGATTAAGAGAAGAAAAAGAAAGAAAGAAAGAAAAAGAAAAGAACAAGAAAGAGAAGAACAAAAGGGGGGGAAAGTCTGGTTAATTAAAATTTAGGTGAAGACTATATTTCGGGACACCTGGGTGGCTCAGTCTGCTAGGCGTCTGCCTTCAGCTCAGGTCATGATCCCAGGATCCTGGGGTCCAGTCCCGCGGGCTCCTCGCTCAGCAGGAAGCCTGCTTCTCTCTCTGCTGCTTCCCCTGCTTGTGCGCTCTCTCTCTGACAAATAAATAAATAAGAATGTTTTTAAAAAAAGATTATTTTTAAATTTCTTAACATGGAGCAAACAAATGTAAATACATCCAAACAATACACATTTTAATTTCCTGGTATTTCATATATAACTGTCCCATGTGTTCCTTTCCTGAAGCCCTAGTCTTCCCCAGAGACTTCATCCAAAGCATTAATTCATTTACCAATGAGTGCAGATGACCATGGCTGCTACTGGTCCTAGCATATGTCAGTAAACTGTTGTGCAATGAAGACACTGCTCAATTTGTGTTTTCTCTGTTGGGCTTGTCCCCAAGGGAAGCTCTAAAACCCATATCTGTTTGAAACTCTGTAGGAAGGAGCTGGGACCTGGGCTTGCCTTGTGGAAGCACTTGAGCTTCTGGGAGCCTCTAACTGTTACGATGATGGCCTCCTCCAGACCTATCCATTTTGGGTCCTGATTAGAATTCCCAGTTCCTACCTAGCCCAGCCATCTGAGCCATGTGGGTAAAATGATTCTGGATAAGTATTGCTCCTATTGCCTCTGCAGATGTTAACCCCCAAACACACCCAAGTCCCAGAGGTAAGGAAGATGACTAAATTGGCTAAAGCAACATGCAGGGAGTGAGTAAGGTAAACCATAATTCTGCGCGATCCAGGCATTGTCCTAGAAATGAATGCCTGTTATATTACATTGGCCTGTGGTCCCCCAAGGAAATTTTCATCATCACAGAGCAATCTTGTCATTGTTTTTGCAACTCAGTAAAGTGACAATGCTCAGGAGTGGGGAGGGAATAGAGACAGAAATAGCATCAACCACCTCCCACATCTGTGTTATACCTATAATTCCCCTAGACATATAGACTAGGATCTCCAGAGATGTTCTCTAGCCAGACTTCCATACTCTATAGCGCCAAAGCAAAACTCAGGAAGCTGAAGCATAGAAATATGGCAATTGTCATAGAGTATCAGTCACCAAGAGCTTTTGATTTCACCTCTTTAAATATAACTCCAATTTGCCCCTTCCTCCTTCATCCCTTTCCTGCCACTGACCTCATTCAGGAGCTCTTCACTACTCTATTATCCACTTTTAATCACCCTTTAAAATACCAGACAGTCAGTAAAACAGGGATGAAAAACTGTGAGTACTCCTACCTCTTACTTTAGGTATTTATAGTTGGCATCTTTTCATCCTGTGTTATCAAGGAGTAGAGGGGAGTATAGGCCAGGTTTTGCCTGTTCCAACAAGGCTTCTATCGCGCTGAGAGTTCACAGGTGAATCCTCTGGTCTGATGCAGTTCCATGTAGTCAGCAGAATGCCAGCCTGAGATTCACAAGACCTGGCTCTGTCTCCATTTCTGTGGCCTTAAAGTCATCATTCAGTGCCCTACGAAAGGAGTTGTCCAAAAAACAAGATGGGTTGTCTCAGGGAGACTATTACTACAAGTCTTAGTATGTGACTGACCGCTTGCCATGTTAGCACCTCATGTTTGACATGTCCAATACTGAGCTCATGAGCTTATCTTCTACTTCCATATCCAACCAGACCAGTTCCCCTTATCATGTTCCCTTGCTGTGTGAAAGGCAATGCTCCTGCCTAGAAACCTGAGCATCTTCCTTGACTCTTCCTTATTCCCCACATCTAATCAGTCACTACATTCATAAATATCCTTCATGTCAGTCTCCCCTGTCTAAGCCCACTGCCCCTACAGTTCAGGTTCACTGTCACTGCCTTTACAAGTCACTGAACCAGTCTCCAGATGAGCTCTTCCTGGCTTCCAGTTTTGCTCTCTCTCCAATCTATTCCCCACCCTCCTGCCTGGTTGAGTTTTCTGAAATAAAAATTTGATAATGTCACTCTTTCTTAGAACCCTTTAGCTGTTTCTCAGTGTTAGAAAAATAAAATCCTGACTCCTTAGCCTGTCTTAGATCTTGCCCCTGTCAACTTTTCCAGACTAGTTTTCAGCTCCTCCTATCAAACCAGCAGTAGTTAACCCCATCGAGTTCCCTCAACAGGACTGACCCTGGTGCCTGTGAGCTAGCCTACTTTGCCTGTAGCTTCAGATCACTTTGTGTTTTTATTCGAGAGGAAGATCACTTTCCTCACTTTGTCTTTTTATTCAAGACTCAGCTGGAGTTTCATACTCACCATAAAGGGTTCCTTGAACTCCTTCCACTGTGGTACTAGTCTATACCTCCAAAATGGCATTGACAGCAGTGATCTTGTTCACCTCTCCCACAGAATGCAGGCTCCTCCTGTTGAACTTCTTATGTCCATTGCCTACATTAGTCCTATAGCATGGTAGGGTCTAACAGACATCCAATAAATGCTTATTGAATAAATTTGTTACAAGAGTTTAACGCATGAGGGGTTTATAGTGGAGTTGAACAAGATGACCTTCAGAGTCCTTTCCAACTCTTAGCTTTTCATTTGAAGATACCAGTCCCTTCCATGGTTTTGAATAGCACATCCATTTATTACTCTTACCCATAACTTCAAGGCACTCCTCAACCTGAGCTTTAAACCAAAATGTCCACCTGCCTGCTATAGAACTTTAAATACTGGCTGCTGAGTGAGCATCTCAAATTCAGTATGTCCAAAATTAATTCACTTGCCTATACAACCGGATTCACCTTTCCAGTTTTCTGTATTTGTTAACGACACCATCCTCTTCTTGGGGGCCCATATGAAAAACATCCAGGATGGCACCTTTTTCCTAAACCAATCACTGCCTACTCCTGTGGATTCCCCTTTCCCAAATACCAGTTGTTTTTGTCACTGCATTTACTTACAGTCTCCATCGAATTGCTGAATTGCTCGTGACTCTAATTAGCATTTGTTGCACTCTTGACTTTCGTGATGTATTTCCATCTCTGTACCAACACTAGATCCTGGAAAGATTTCTGTATTATGGCTGTAAATCCCCCAAGTCTCAGCATAAGGTTTGCAAACAGATAGCAGGTGGTCAACAAATCGTGGTAGAATGGCTGAATGAATGTTAGGATGTTAGGTTTAAACTGCTTTGGGGGCATGGATCTTGTTATATGCTTTTTTTTTTTTTTTTTTGGTCCCACCCCCAATATAGTAGATATAGTAAAAGGCATAGGAAACAAGAAATACGTATTTTTAAAAATTGAACACTGTATTTTTTTATTTTAACTCGGAGTTGCTGCAACAACTGGCTGTAGTTTTAATAAAAAAAAAAAAACGCTCTATTTTTTTGTAAAAGGTTTCTTAGCCTCAGCTCCCAGCTAAAACCATCCAGGATCCTGGTTTCCCACCCTTTCCAGTGGCCTGATGTGAGGCAGGGGAGGAGCAATGAACAAGCTGGGCCTGAGGAGCAAGGAGAGCGGGATGGGGGAAGTCCCGGAAGTCACTGACCAGAGCAAGCGGCTGCCGAAGCGACATCAGCTTCGGCTGCGGTCCCAACAATAACAGGCGCGCGGGCGGGGCGGGGCTGCCGGGGGCCCGAGCTTGGGGGCGGAACCCGGATTGGGGGAGGCGGGTGGGACGCTTTGCTAAGGCTGCAGGGGATTGGAGGAGAGAGATGAGGGGCGGTTGAGCTCAAGGAGTGGGCAGGGGAGCTAACGGGCCGACCGAGGAGAGAGCGTGTTGATTGGGAGGCGCGGAGGGAGACGGACCGGAGCCAACTGGGGATTGGCCGTGGCGGGCCGAGGAGGCGTGGTCAATGCGCGCCAGAGGGAGAGCGAGGGAGCGGGCGGCTGGTCTGCCTGCCAGCTAGCCGGAGTCCCGGGCGTGTGCTGCGAGCCGGGGTTGGGTTGAGGAACGCGGTGCGGGAGGCGCGTCCCCCTAGCTCCTCCGCAGCCGCCCTTCGCGGCTCGAGTACCCCACTTCCTTCCCTCTCTTCTCCTTCATTCTGGTCTGGGGGTCTCGGGGCAGGGAGCTGAGGGAAGGAACTAAAGAGGAGGAGGCGAAAGCGGAGCGAGGGGCAGAGAGGGTCCCGGCGCGGGGCATAGCGCGCGCTGCGTCTCGCTCTCCCGCCGGAACCGCCGCCTCCTCGCCCGGGGCGCCCGCACTATGCAGGCGGACTGCTGGCCACCGCGATGGGGAGCCGGGCGTTGGTGAGAGCCGGGCGCAGCCCTCACCGTCTCCGAGTCCGGGCCGCGGCCGCCGCCCCCGCCCGGGCCGCGCTACCCCTCTCCCGCCCTCTCCCTCCCCGCTCCAACTCCTCCTCCTCCTTCCCCATGCCTCTGTTCCTCCTGCTCCTACTTATCCTGGTCCTGCTGCTCGAGGACGCCGGAGCCCAGCAAGGTGAGTGGTCCCCGGGGAGTGCGCGGCGTGCGGAGCCCCAGGGATGGTGGGGGCGGCAGGGGGAACCTCTGGGATGTCGGGTCTCCGGGACGTGAGCCGAATCTGCAGATGCGCGGGGGAGGTGCGGTGCGCTTCGGTGCCTGGCCAGACCTGGCCCAGCACTCGCTGCGTTGAGTGGCAAAGGTGGGCTCCGCCTGTTGTCCCCCGAGTTGGCGCGGCTTTACTTTTTGACAAGGCCTTTGGTTTTTCTGAAAAGAGAGAAGTGAGACCCTGCTGTGAAGGCCTCCGTTTTGGTATTGGATTCTTCTGGGGAAAATCTTTGGGAGGAAAAAGAGAAGTTTTGGAGGTGCGACCCCTAAAGTTAGGCTACACTGATGGACAGAGTAGAGAGGCAAGATAATTACATAGCATGTTAAACCAATTAAAGGCAAGTGGCGATAATTACCTTTTGTGAAAAGTGCTCAAGTTCAAAACGAATGACATTGATTCTGGTTAGCTTTGAGTCTTGGATTCTGGACATGCCCTTTATGATACCTTACGGTTATTCCTGTTGGTGGTCTGGATTGCCTGGGTAGAACAGTCTGACCTAAGGCAGCGTGCTGTGTTCCCAGATGGAGCATTCCGAGTTGAAAGGGTAAGCCCTTCCAGAAAGTGACAAAACTTTTTTTCCATCCACAGTCCTTGAAATACCTATTTCAGAATTGAGCAAAACTGTTTATTGAATAATCATCATAATGGAAAGAGAATGCAAGGCTGATTCCTCCTCCGCCCTTTAGTACTATTTTCAGGCAGCGAACCGCAATTTTTGAATCAGTTTGGCATCAGTTATTGAACACATTTTTCCATTGCATTTCCTTCTTTATTGCAGTGAGAAAGATATGGGTTGGATTGTTTCTTATTGCTGGGAAGATTTTTATTTTAAGTTGATCTCCATGTTTAAGTCCAGCTGAAATGTTGCTCTCATATGGTTTTCAGTAAAGTGTGGAATCATGGCCATAAGCCTGTCATTATGAAGACGCTGAAACTTTGACAGGCATGTGGAAGTACAATCTAACAATAAAAAATATATATATTTGGCAGACTAATCTCTTTTAGCTCTAGGCACATTTCTACATAGTGTAACTTAAAATTTAGATGCTTGGCATTCAGGTTTTTAGTTAGATCATCATCTTAAATAAATTCTTAAACATCACTTAAGTGTGAAATCCTTACCCCCATTGAAGTTTTAGACTGTATGCTTGTATTTTCCTTCTAGTAGAGAAACAAAAAACAACAAGAAGGCTTACATACAGCCAGCACTAATTGGGACTGACTTTGTGGCAGGCACATTTCTAAGTGATGTATGTGTATTAAGTCAGTTAATCCTCACCACACCCATCTGAGATAGTGTTATTCCATTTCAAACATAGAGAACTGAGACACAAAACATATAAGGTATCTTGATATAGAAAGGAATGTAACTTCATAAGCAGAATACTGTTTTGCTTATTTCTAGACTGAGAGTTTTTATATCATGTTTGTAAAAAAATCTTTGAACAGTATGGAATCAGTTATATGTCTCCCCACATGAGGCAGTTGCCTTAATTTTCAGAATTTCTCGAACCTGGCCTAATTAACATGCAATATTATCTTATTTTCTTTCAAGGTGTAATTTCAGTTTTTAACACAACATTAACAAATATATGGCCTCTTTCACAGTTATGTCTTATATAAACAGTGTAGATTAAAACAAATAGAAATGATGGTGGTAATTTAAAAGACCTCTGATTTCTCGTTCATTTAAGTTGATTGGGTAAGTTTTGTTAAGTCATTTAATTTCTTTGTACCTCAGTTTTCTACACCAGTGATATGAGAATACATACCTATTTCGTAGCCTAACAAAAATGGAATGATAGTATGTAGGAGTTTTGTAAATGGAAAAGCGTAATATAGCTATAAGTGATTATCATTATTAATTTTTAGTTTATGAGGTTGATAAATAAGAACCAGTTAGGTATATATCACTGGAAACTCAGGAATTGTGTGCGATTTCAATTCCCTAATTTTTAAAAATTACATTTTTTACCCAAAGGACCTTGATGCAGTCTGTAGTGGAATTGCTTTTCAGCCAGTCTTAACTAATCTAACAGACATATGCTTCGGGTTCCATTGGTATTCCCTCACATAAGCTGGAAAGAAGTCTCATTTCAAAATGAGAACCAGTGTTTTAAAACACCTGTAGAATTTTTAATAATGGGAGTATCTACATATTGTAGTGTTAAGTGACAAACTGGAGTTTTTACTTTATAAGAAATCTTAGGAAGAAGACTGAAAAGAAATAATAAAATAGTCATTGTCTTTTGGTGGTAGAGTTATGGGTAATTCTGTATGCTCTTCCAAATTTTCTGCAGTTAACATATAGTCAAAATATAAGCTGTGAAAAAAAAATTTTTTTTTTAAAGATTTATTTATTTATTTATTTGAGAGAGAGAATGAGAGAGAGAGCACATGAGAAGGGGGAGGGTCAGA